TTCCCTTTTTTGTGTGGTTGGACTTGGAACGAGTGTGAAAACAGTAAAAAATGATCGTTGATTGCCGTGGATGTCCAACAGAACGCAGTTTTACTGAATCATTTTATAGTTTAGAACACACATACCTGGTTTCAGTTAGATAAATTTTCACACAATACTTCGACATATTTTATATAAAGGACAAAAAAGACCCACATAGAGCACAAGCCTAGCACAAGCAGCATTCGTATTTTCTGATCCTTCAATAAAAATCTTCAGGAAATAAAGTGCAGACACGGAAGACCAGCTGATGTTTAATTCCCAAACTAAAGGCTGTGATATGTTCTGGTGAGAATAACAACAAGTGCTGTCGACAAGCTATTCCAAAACCGCAAACTCGACGACGGTGACAGCAAAACAAAACCTTTTGACAGGCGGGTTGATGGCTGCATGCTGAAGTATCACGTTACATCTTATCTCCTCACCAAAAGAGACAATACAAACACGATATGCTGGGTGACTTAAACCACAAAGTATGCAGTCACTGTTGGGGATATAATTATTGTCTGTTTTCGTGTAAATGGGGTTGTGGGAACATTCTGAACAAATTAGCCAGAATACCGTGGTATTGAAATTCAATACCAAATTAGCCAGTATTCCGGTATTCATGGATTTTTAGTCGGTATTGTTCGGTATAAAAAAAAAACGTGGTATTCGGTGATACCGAAATACCGCCCAAGCCTAGTTAGAATACACTTTGAGCTCAAGAAAAAAATGGCGCCAAGGTTCTAGATGTAGAGATGAGTTGCGACGAGTCGCTCCAAGGTGGGAGAACAGGATTCCGTCATGTTGTGCGACCAGTTGACAAAAAGCGGAGAGCCAAAGATCAGCAGAAGAAATGTAACGCAAAGGAATACTTGCGGACCTTGCAAGGTATATATCAAATATATCTAAGGCACTGACTTAGAACAAATCTGAAAACTAGACAGGATCACTCTAGGAATACATTCTCAGTCCCACATATCATCAGGTAGGAATCAATTGGTAAAAACTCCAGCTCTTAATCAGACTGGTTATATATAGGTATATATGAAAACAAAGTCTAAAGCTTGACCCAGAGACAATTCATATCTATAACTTCTGATGAATTCAACGCATATCAGAATCTATCGAATATACAGGAAACCATGTTCAAATAAACCATATAGGCCTAGTCATTGAAAAGCATCACAAAAGCATCAGTCCAAACTGTAGAACTACAGTCAGTCTGTCACGTACACCATGGATATGATGGGTGGTAAGTCCTGACTTACACATACATTAAAAATCTGCTCATATTTCTCAGTGCAGTGAAGGGCACAACTTATTCCCAGCCTCCACTAACTTTAAGTCAAAGTGATTGGAAAGTACACTCAAACCACCTCGAATAATTTGCTAAACACATGTCTTTCTGAGGAAACACCTCTTTTGGATCTAGTCTCAGAACATTACTGGTTTGTGGAAAATACGAGATACTCGTACCAAAACCTTCAACATCATAAATTTGCTTGGACTTCTCAACATATCTAAAAGTCCAGACTTCATGAAATCAATTGTTACACTTCTTTTTACAGTTAACAAGAGTCACAGTGAAAAATGCAATGACTAAACCCCAGAAAAGATACATAGTAGTATAAAATGATATAAGTAGGAATTCAAACTTACCTAAGATAGAGAGCCAACACTCGTGAACATAAGGGGAAGACTTGGATTTGGAGGTCCTCCAGTCCAAAGGAAAAATAGTGCAGAGCGCAGACTAAAATTCGTCAGGCATGTAGTCAGCATGATGGCAAAGTTTAGAATGCCAGGCTTGCCAAAACTCTGGAGCAAACTGCCACCCAGAACATGCCTTTGCTACTTTACCAGCTCAGGCTCTCATTGGACAAATTTAAAAAATGTCACACATGACTCCAATACTGATTGGTCATTTAGTATCTAAGCAGATGAGCACTCAGCAGAAGTTTATGGCTTTCACAGCTTGGAGTAAGGTGCGAACACAACTAGGGATTAAGTGTCCCAACATCCTGCTGATCTCCTATAAAGTTTACTGGGAGTGTACACACTGGTGTACTAGTCAGAGATTAAAGGCAGTGGATACAAAGAGCATCCTGTGATCTTCTAGGAGAGCAGGAACATTAAAGATAAACTGAAGGAAGAGCGGACTATTTGACAAAAGGATTAGGCAATAGAAAAAAGGTTCAACACTGGAACACCGTTTACCAGTAGAAAAGTAAAAAGCTCAGGAAAGAACAATTTACATATGCAAAAGGAAAACATAGTCACAAAGAAATAAAATTTGAAATTGTAACCCATGACCTCTTTTGGGATGGGGTTACATCTGTAAGTCCTACTTATAAGTAGCGGTGGGTAGTCGGATCGGGTGGTCTTGCTTGGGTGTTCAAAATGACTCTATCAAGGTGGGAGTATCAGATCCTGAACCCCAACCCAGGCTGACAGCACGATTCCTGTAGAACTTAGGACCCCAGAGGAGGTGCGTATTGTGATTCACATGATCTCAAGGTCGGGTAGTTCCAGACCTTCACGGCGTTGGACATGGAGGCACATTTGACCCAGGCTCCCCATCCATCAGCGCGATCTCTCCGCATCACAGGCTGCAGATAACCAGCTAGGGACACCTTTACATCAGGTACATAATATTTAAGAAGAGATTCGGTTATTAATGTCGCATCAGCATGCAGACATTTTGCTCTGTGACTCAGAGCACCAATATTGGTCCGTAGACCTCGCACATTTGCCTTGTTAGGGCAGTCGCAACGGAATCGGCTCTTTTTTCTCATTGCGTGCGTCTTGGATTAACACTGGAG